CCCCGCACAACACACACTCAGGCGGGCTGTATCAAGGCTCAGTAGTCTGTCTGTTACACTTGAGGAATTTCTCTCATAAACCTGATCTAGAGATAATTTAAATACAGTTTCCGTAATGAGGAGATGACTGACTCTTTTCTTGTATTCTCGGTACAGATGTTGACTGTACCTGTGTAGGGGAAGAGTGACCTGCCAGGACATGGTGTGAGGTAACTATACTGTGCTCACATCTCTCGTACTGTTCAGTGTACATACAGTACAAATCATGAATCACACACACACACACACACACACACACACACACACACACACACACACACACACACACACACACACACACACACACTGACTAATGAATCAGGCAGGTAAGCCAGACCATTGTTAATATTCCACGCAGAGGTGTAGTGAAAGGAAGGAGGTGGTTGGAAAAACGAGTGGAGGGGAAGAGGTGGAAGTGGGCAGAGGGAGTGGAAGAATGGGTGGAGGGGGTGGATGTGGGCAGAGGGGGTGGATGTGAGTAGAAGTGGGTGAAGTAGTGGAAAGGAAAAGAGAGGGAATGTATATGTGGGAGGAGTGGGGAGTGGGGGAAGGAAGAGGTCATGGTGGTGACCTTGTGGGTGGAAAAAACAAAAAGAACAGCGAAAGCTCATCAATGGTGAAGAGTAGAGGGAGGGACTGTTGTGTAAGTAGGGAGACTACTCCCTCTTCAACGTCTGCTTTACCGCTACCACCATCACCACCACTACTATCACCACAACCACCATCACTACCACCATCACCCAAACTACCACCACTACCATCATTACTATCACTTATTACCACCACCGCTACTACCACCATCACCACTATTGCAGCCACCACTGCTACCACCATCGCAACCACTACTCCCACAACCTCCTCAACTACCACAACCTTCACCACCACTACCACAACCACTTTTTAATGGAGGAGATATCGTAGTTACGGTTAACAAATTTATTGACAAAGCTTGGAGTACAGTTTGCCTATTCTGAGTAATTCAGTCAGGTCTTGACACTGAGGGTAGTATCACTGTTCACTGCCACGCAGGACAGAGGTTCATACACAAAGAAATAGATCATATTTATTGGAGGTAAAATAAGGGAGGAGGCAGAAGCATGGGCGGGTAAGAGGTGGGCGGCCTTGCACACCACACTGAGGGGCAGCTCGAGTCTATTACCTGAGACAATAGTGAGTGTGAGGAGAGGCCCTGGCCCTACTTCACCTCTAGTGACCCTGACTCACCCCCTGTACCTACTTCACCTATCGTGACCCTGACTCACCCCTGGCCCCTTCACCTCTCCTGACCTGACTCACCTCTCCTGACCATGATTCACCTCCTCTGACTCTACTTCACCTCTCCTGACCCTGACTCACCCCTGACCCAACTTCACCTCTCCTGACCCTGGCTCACCCTGACTCACCCTCTGACCCTGACTCACCCTCCTGACCCTACAGTCACTTGCAATGTACAGCCCTGGTTACTGCACAAAAGAGAGTTGTACAGACAATGACCTACTTGAAAAAAACAGATCACAAAAACGAAAAATTTGCTAAATTGAAAATTTTAAAATTCGGAGATATTAACATCTACTGCTGTGCCGTCTTTGTTTACAAATCTATCAATCACTTGCTTGACAATAATTATTTCCAGTTCCGGAATAATCACAGATACAACTTAAGGCACCCAGAGCTACTAAGACCACCCCCATGCGCTCCTCTCAGCCCAAGACCTCCATAAAATATCACGGTGTGAAGGTGTGGAACAACTTACCCCAACCATCCCAGCAAAGACTACGCTCCCTTCCTTTAAATCATCTAAAAAATATCTATTGTCTAAATATTAATATTTCTTGCAACACCTACTATATTAAAGTACCTGCTTTTATTGTACCATCAAAACCGTTTTATCGGAAATTATCAAGAAAATAGATAAAAAATTACTATTGCAATAAACATATTTGCCAACTAGACAGCTCTGTCTTCTTGTTCAACCTTAATACTGTACAACCCATGTTGTACTGCTTCCCAATTATATTTGTGTTTTTCAATTCCACTGTAATTATGTATATACTTATAAAAAATAATAATAAATAAATAAAATTAATAAATATTGAAGTGATAACCGTGGTAACATTCTGAGATGTTCTTATTACCTCCATGCTATTGTACTGTTCCAGATGTTACTAAATATTAAACAATACTTCCTTGAGATAAATGTATAGTATATATCAAGTGCCTAAAAGAGAGCTCAGGTTAGTTGCATTCTGTGCAAGGTGAAGCGCCAACACGTTCATGATTGGTTGTGTCTTTGACTTGTGATTAAGTTCGCACGTGCCTGAAGGACCATAGATTGTGTCGGCAAGTTACATACAGTGCCAGAAGGATGTGTGTGGAGGAAATTCCCGTTACAGTGTGGCAGGTCCCTAACAATGTCAAGTGTCAGGCCAGTCTCTATGAAGAGGGGTATTTGGTCGGGGAGGACGAGGTGGTGGAGACGGCTGGCGACCTGTAGGAAGAGGTGTGATGGCAGCCATGGGAGGCTCACGGACACCTGTGGCCCAGGCGCAGTTTAGTGTACACAACCTGTTGAGTCAAGGGCAGGGTGTGGAGGGCAGGGTGTGGTGGCAGGGTGTGGGGGTGGTAGCGTTGAGGTCGTGGGTACGGGTGACGAGGAAATCACTGTTTTATGATGGTGAGTGTGAGGTGAACACGAGCGGTACTCAGCGTCAACACCCACAAACTCTGTCTCTACCTACACTCAACTTTAACTACGTCTACTAACCTAACCCCACAGGTAGAAATAAGCTGGGTTCTAAACTTCACGATACAAATGACTTGTTACACACACACACACAATGTATGTATGTATGTATGTATGGGTATGTATGTATGTATGTATGTACTGTATATGTATGATCAATCTACTTACCTGCCGTGCACCCGTAACAGTGGTCACATGTGCGGCTGTGTTATCAACTTACCTGTAACACAAGAGAAAACATCATTAATTTAACGCTTCTACGACACACTCAACCAGTTACCACACCACACACACACACACACACACACACACACACACACACACACACACACAACTGCATAAACAACATATTAGTAATTATTGTCTCCAGTTTCTGGATCAATTCTCACAGCCTAAGGTAAATGTGAGGCAACCTAGTGTAGTTACTGTGTGTGGGTAAGTGAGTGGGCGTGCGGGTAAGTGGGTGGGCGTGTGGGCGTGTGGGTAAATGGGTTAGCGTGTGGATAAGTAGTAAATGGGTGGGCGTGTGGGTAAATGGGTGGGCGTGGGTAAATGGGTGGGCGTGTGGGTAAATGGTGGGCGTGTGGGTAATGGGTGGGCGTGTGGGTAAGTGTGGGGTAGTGGGTGGGCGTGTGGGTAAATGGGTGGGCGTGTGGGTAAATGGGTGGGCGTGTGGGTAAGTGGGTGGGCGTGTGGGTAAGTGGGTGGTATCTCTAGCCAGATAAAAGAAAAGACACATTAAATCACCACAAAGTAAGACAAGTCAAAATTTTTTTCTCTGAATCTGGAGGTTTACTGCCACCCCCCCACCCCCCACGAGGGTCCTCAGGGGTTGACAAACGTAAGAGCTTAATATAGTTAGTAGTTAATCTTATTGTCTGATAGTATACCAGTCAGTATTTAGATTGACCAACTACTACACCAGTCAGTATTTAGATTGACCAACTACTACACCAGTCAGTATTTAGATTGACCAACTACTACACCAGTCAGTATTTAGACTGACCAACTACTACACCAGTCAGTATTTAGACTGACCAACTACTACACCAGTCAGTATTTAGACTGACCAACTACTACACCAGTCAGTATTTAGACTGACCAACTACTACACCAGTCAGTATTTAGACTGGCCAATTACTACACCAGTCACTAATTACACTGGACAACTACAGGGCAGCTGCTTCAGAGTCAACACTCATAAATATAACTGTAATAATGTCAAGACGTAAGTTACTATATTTAACACAGGAGTTACGTCAGTTTCCAGTAACATCATAATACACTGAACTGAAACACATTCTGAGAAAAACAGTAGTGTGTATGTGTGTGTGATCCCTTTCTTGACCTTCTCTGGTTAAGGTAGAGTCTCTGTGTAGTGGATGGTATATGTGTTCAATAGCGTCAGTCAATCAATCAGTCAGTCAGTCAGTCAGTCATTCTCCAGGGGATATGTTGTTACGTCTACAGTTACGATCGTATTAAACGTGGGAACCTTTAAGAATGTGACCTTGAGAATGATTTACGTTTAGGAAATATTCACGCAGTTAACTCTCCCAAGATGGCGGCTACACTACGCTATGACTCTACTGTACCAAGTGTTGTTCTCTTTTCCGTAGCTGAAGGTAAACTGATCTTAATGACACACACACACACACACACACACACACACACACACACACACACACACACACCACACACATACACACACACACCACACACACACACACACACACACACAGATCTCTTAAGTTACAACAGTTGTATTGCGTTTCACTTGGTAACCGATCTGGTAAACACAGGTGTACTGGTGACGTCACGGGAGTACTGGTGACGTCACGGGTGTACTGGTGACGTCACGGGTGTACTGGTGACGTCACGGGAGTACTGATGAACGTCACGGGTTTGGTATCAAAGTATCAAGTGTGGTAGTGAACCATTAAGTGTGGTAGTGAAGTATTAAGTGTGGTAGTGAAGTACTAAGTGTGGTAGTGAAGTATTAAGTGTGGTAGTGAAGTATTAAGTGTGGTAGTGAACCATTAAGTGTGGTAGTGTGTGGTAGTCGCCCCCTAACCTGGATAACGCTATCAGTTTCCGGCCACAAGTGTCTGAGTCTGTCTGTTGTAACCATGGATTATGTCTTCATGTCCCCGACCAACTCTCATGCCCACGACCCACTCTCATGCCCACGACCCATGTTCATGCCCCCGACCTACTCTCATGCCCCCGACCCTGAGCCCTGAGGCGTGCGGTGGCGTGGCTTGGGTCGGGGGTGTATGGTGTAAGTGGGCGCAATGCAGATGGACGTGATGTGGGTGGGCGTGCTGTAGGTGGGCGTGATGTAGGTGGGCGGGATGTGGGTGGGCGGGATGTAGGTGGGCGGGATGTGGGTGGGCGGGATGTAGGTGGGCGGGATGTAGGTGGGCGTGATGTAGGTGGGCGGGATGTAGGTGGGCGCAATGCAGATGGACGTGATGTAGGTGGGCGTGCTGTAGGTGGGCGTGATGTAGGTGGGCGGGATAGGTGGGCGGGATGTAGGTGGGCGTGCTGTAGGTGGGCGGGATGTAGGTGGGCGGGATGTAGGTGGGCGTGATGTAGGTGGGCGTGCTGTGGGTGGGCGTGCTGGCAGGTGGGCGGGATGAGTGGGCGTGATGTAGGTGGGCGTGATGTAGGTGGGCGTGATGTAGGTGGGCGGGATGTAGGTGGGCGGGATGTAGGTGGGCGTGATGTAGGTGGGAGGGATTGGGCGTGATGTAGTATGAGCGGGATGTAGGTGGGCGTGATGTAGTATGAGCTCTCCAGGTTGTAATAACTATTCAGGTCGGGAAAGTGTACAACCTTCACCTTGACTCATTAATAACTATCACCATCACGCTTGTTGTATGGGTGGTAGTTGTGGTGATGGTTGTTGTAGGGGTGGTAGTTGTGGTGATGGTTGTTGTGAAATTGGTAGTTATGGTGGTTTTTGTAGGGCGGTAGTTGTGGTGATGGTTGTTGTAGGGTGGTGGTAGTTGTGGTGATGGTTGTTGTAGGATTGGTAGTTGTGGTGATGGTTGTTGTAGGGGTGGTGGTTGTGGTGATGGTTGTTGTAGGGGTGGTGGTTGTGGTGATGGTTGTTGTAGGGGTGGTGGTTGTGGTGATGGTTGTTGTAGGGGTGGTAGTTGTGGTGATGGTTGTTGTAGGGGTGGTAGTTGTGGTGATGGTTGTTGTAGGGGTGGTAGTTGTGGTGATGGTTGTTGTAGGGTGGTAGTTGTGGTGATGGTTGTTGCAGGGGTGGTAGTTGTGGTGATGGTTGTTGTGGGGTGGTAGTTGTGGTGATGGTTGTTGTAGGGGTGGTAGTTGTGGTAGTTGTGGTGATGGTTGTTGTAGGGGTGGTAGTTGGTGATGGTTGTTGTAGGGGTGGTAGTTGTGGTGATGGTTGTTGTAGGGGTGGTAGTTGTGGTGATGGTTTTTGTGGGGTGGTAGTTGTGGTGATGGTTGTTGTAGGGTGGTAGTTGTGGTGATGGTTGTTGTAGGGGTGGTAGTTGTGGTGCTCGAGGTACATCTACCTCTACATCGGGCCACCTGAGCTACTGTCTGTGTGTAAGGTAATGACAGGTGAGAGGCTTTACGTAAAGTGACGACCTTGCCCTCCCACCTCTCACCCTCCTTCCCCCACCCCTTCCTCACCCCCCGTATCACCTCTTACCTCCCTCCTCCCCTGTCACCACCCTCACCCCTCGCATCACCCCTCATTTCTCTTATCATCCCTCACACAAACGAAAAATTTGCTAAATTGAAATTTTTAAGATTCGAAGATATTAACACCTACTGCTGTGCCACTTTGTTTACAAATCTATCAATCACTTGCTTGACAATAATTATTTCCAGTTCCGGCATAATCACAGATACAACTTAAGGCACCAAGAGCTACTAAGACCACCCCCCATGCGCTCCTCTCAGTCCCAGACCTCCATAAAATATCACGGTGTGAAGGTGTGGAACAACTTACCCCCACCCATCCTAGCAAAGACTACGCTCCCTTCCTTTAAATCATCACTTAAAAAATATCTATTGTCTAAGTATTAATATTTCTTGCAACACCTACTATATTAAAGTACCTGCTTTAATTGTACCATCAAAGCCGTTTATCGGAAATTATCACGTCAATAGATAAGTAATTATCATTGCAATAAACATATTTGCCAACTAAACATAATCCTGACAGCTCTGTCCTCTTGTTCAACCTTATTACTGTACAACCCAGGTTGTACTGCTCTATTATACTTATGTTTTCTAATTCCACTGTAATTTATGAATATATAACTAAAAAAAAATAAATAAAATTAATAAATACTGAGAGTGATAACCGTGGCAACATTCTGATATGTTCTTATTACCACCGCTATTGTAGTATTCCAGATGATACTAACTGTTACATAATACTTCTTGAGATAAATGTATAGTATATATCAGGTGCCTAAAAGAGACCTCAGGCTCTCCAACTGAGCTCAGCCATGTTAATATTGTTATTATTATCCACTCGTATCTGGCTAAATAAACTGTTTCAATTCAAATTCAATTCTTCATATCACCTCCCTCACCCCCCGCATCACCTCGCGTCACCCCCACATCACCCTCGTCACCCCCGCATCACCTCGCGTCACCCCGCATCACCCCGCGTCACCCCTCGCGTCACCCCCGCATCACCCTCGCGTCACCCCCTGCATCACCCCTCGCGTCACCCCCGCATCACCCCTCGCGTCACCCCGCATCACCCCCGCATCACCCCTCGCGTCACCCCCCGCATCACCCTCCGCGTCACCCCTCACGTCACCCCTGCATCACCCCTCGCGTCACCCCCGCATCACCCCCGCGTCACCCCGCATCACCCCCCGTCACCCCTCGCGTCACCCCGCATCACCCCCGCATCACCCCTCGCGTCACCCCCCTGCATCACCCCTCGCATCACCCCTCGCGTCACCCCCCGCATCACCCCTCGCGTCACCCCCGCATCACCCCGCATCACCCGCATCACCCCTCGCGTCACCCCCGCATCACCCCTCGCGCACCCCCGCATCACCCCTCGCGTCACCCTAACGCCAGCCCCACATCACCCCCGCGTCACCCCCAGCATCACCCACCGCATCACCCCTGCGTCCTCACCGCATCACCCCGCGTCACCCCGCATCACCCCTCGCGTCACCCCCTCACCCCTCGCTCACCCCCCATCACCCCTCCGTCACCCCCATCACCCCTCATCACCCCGCATCACCCTCGCGTCACCACCGCATCACCTCGCGTCATCCCTCGTCACCCCCGCATCACCCCTCGCGTCACCCCCGCCCACCCGCATCACCCCGCATCACCCCTCGCGTCACCCCCATCCCCTCGCGTCACCCCTCGCGTCACCCCCCCATCACCCCGCATCACCCCTCGCGTCACCTCGCGTCACCCCCGCATCACCCTCGCGTCACCCCCGCATCACCCCTCGCGTCACCCCACCCCTCGCGTCACCCCCCGCATCACCCCTCGCGTCACCCCCGCATCACCCCTCGCGTCACCCCCGCATCACCCTCGCGTCACCTGCATCACCCCTCGTCACCCCGCATCACCCCTCGCGTCACCCCCCATCACTCTCACCCCATCACACCCCTCCGTCACCCCCCGCATCACCCCTCGCGTCAACCCCCATCCCCCCATCACCCCTCGCGTCACCCCTCGCGTCACCCCCCCATCACCCCTCGCGTCACCCTCACCCCAATTATTAAAGTACTTGTTAGAGTAATAATGATAAGGACTCCTTTCCTCAACCGTCTCTCAGTCAGTGTATGATACGTTACAGATGTTTTAAGGTTAGGTTAGGTTAGGTTAGGTTAGGTTAGGTTAAGGTTAGGTTAGAGGATTAGGTTAGTTAGGTTAAGTTAGGTAGTGAAGACGGTTGGGTATGAAGGAGGGTCTCTTATGGTGTCTGGTGAGGGGATATATGGGGAGGAGGGTCACGAGGTATCTTGAGGGGCATCCTGACCCACAATGGATGGGTGTCACTGCCCAGGTTTGTGGATGCAACAAATATTTGCCCTGTAACTAGGACAGGGGGCAATGATGGGGCAGGGGAGGGTAAGAGGAACGGGCAATGGCAGGGAGTAGGGCAATGGCAGGAGGGGCAATAACAGGGGGGGCGGGGCAATGGGGGAGGGGGCAATGGCAGGGGTGAGGTGCACAGGGAGAATGGACAATGGCATGAGGGGGAGGTAGATAGGGGAGATGTGGGGGGTTAAGCAAACAAGGGAGAAGTGTGAGAAAATGAGAGGGGGTGGAAAGAGAATACTAAGGGAGGGAGGTGGGGAGAGTGAGGGAGGGAGAATGAGGGGGAGGGGGAACCATTTATCTACACGGACAAACAGACTGGTCAGACGTGTGTCACATTGATGTTCAAGGTACAGTGCCAGGCTGACGGTGTGCAGTGCCAGGCTGACGGTGTACAGTGCCAGGCTGACGGTGTACAGTGCCAGGCTGACGGTGTACAGTGCCAGGCTGACGGTGTACAGTGCCAGGCTGACGGTGTACAGTGCCAGGCTGACGACCAACTATATTATGGACGGTGAGTCAAGTACTGTGTGAAGAGATGTTGAGTGTGTGGTGGTGGTGGGGCAGTCCCTCCCTCCCTCCCTCCTTTCCTCCCTCCCTCCCCTCCCCTCCCCCTCCCCTCCGTCCCTCCCTCCCTCCCCCCTCCTTCCTCCTCCCTCCTCCGTCCCTCCCTCCGTCCTCCCTCCTCCCTCCGTCCTCCCTCCCTCCCTCCCTCCACGCGTGCCTCGCTCTCTCTCACACACACAGTGAGTCAGTCGGGTTACAAGAACAGTAAGTTAAGAGGAAATTGTGACAATGTTGGGCCACACTGGTAATGTCATCACCCACCACTCACTACCACCAATCACCATTTCACCACCACAAACAGCAACAAAAACAATAACAACATCACCAATCACCACCACCAATCACCATCATCACCATCTCAGCAGTACAATCTCTTCTCACTATTCTATTTATTCGTCTCATCATTAGCCAAATAAGTTCTTTAATTACATCAAAATTAATAACTAAACATGCTGAAAAAAAAAAATGGCACCAAATTTGCAGAGACGTGAGTAGAAAAAGTTGTTTGAGATACGAATTGAGGTTAGCAGTGAACATGACCTTAAGTTACGCCGAGACTCGATTATTAACGAGATAGTGTGTGTGTGTGTGTGTGTGTGTGTGTGTGTGTGTGTGTGTGTGTGCGTGTGTGTGTGTGTGTGTGTGTCGAACCCTCGCGTGACTATAGTATTTATCTCTTCATATATTACACGGACATAATCACCTCCCTTCACTTTATGCGTAACAACAATATTCCCTTCACCACCGTCACATATCCCACTCGTCACAACGCCTTATATAATCTGTCACAGTAACGACCTCTACACAACAACCATAACACGTAACACATCATAACAACAACACGTCACACCTCGCCATAACACGTCGAGTACCAGCAAAACGTCACAACACACGTCATTACACACGTCACTGCAACGTCACAACACACGTCATTACACACGTCACTGAGACCCAGGAGTTAGTTATCACACAAGAGAGAAGGAGGGAGGCGCCACTGTCCACCACAATTTGCCACATTCTATATCACAAGTCGAGTCAATTAGCTACAGATGGTGATAGTAGTGGTGTGTAGTGGTAGTAGTGGTGTGTAGTGGTAGTAATGGTGTGTAGTGGTAGTAATGGTGTGTAGTGGTAGTAATGGTGTGTAGTGGTAGTGTGTGGTGGTGGTGGTGAAGGAATGTAAGGGTGGTGAGAGAGGTGGTGGTGGTGTTGTGATAGTGACGTCACATTCCTGGTTCATTGGAGGGTAGCCCACTTAACTAACACCTGTCTGGGAGTCTTAAAAACATACATACATACATACATACATACATACACACCACACACTCCCACACCCACCCACACACTCCCACACCCACCCACCTACCCATCCAAACACACCCACACAGTAGTACAGATACAGGTAAAGATACGCTAGTCTATGTATCAAGACACAACAGGTGCCGCGACAGACAGACAGACAGACAGACAGCCTTACACGGGTTGATGATGTGTACAGCGGCCTGTCTACATACAGGTGTCCAGGTGGCTACAGAGGTGTGTTTACCATAATGACAAGTGTCCAGGTGGTTACAGAGATGTGTTTACCATAATGACAGGTGTCAGGTGGTTACAGAGATGTGTTTACCATAATGACAGGTGTCCAGGTGGTTACAGGAATGTGTTTACCATAATGACAGGTGTCCAGGTGGTTACAGAGATATGTTTACCATAATGACAGGTGTCGGTGGTTACAAGTGTGTTTACCATAATGACAGGTGTCCAGGTGGTTTACAGAGATGTGTTTACCATAATGACAGGTGTCCAGGTGGTTACAAGAGATGTGTTTTACCATAATGACAGGTGTCAGGTGAGTTACAGAGGTGTGTTTATCATAATGACAGGTGTCCAGGTGGTTACAGAGGTGTGTTTACCAAATGACCGGTGCCAGGTGGTTACAAGATGTATTTTACCATAATGACCGGTGTCAGGTGGTTGAAGGTGTGTTTACCATAATGACAGGTGTCAGGTGGATTACAGAGGTGTGGTTTACCATAATGACAGGTGTCCAGGTGGTTACAGAGGTGTGTTTACCACAATGACAGGTGCTCAGATGGCTACAGTTGTGTACAAAAGAGCTTCCCACTAACACATAATTACGAATGTTGATTTTCACAGGTGCTGCGACGACTCTCAGAGTGTAGAGGGTATATAGGTGGCCCAATAGTAGAAGGACACGGGAGGCTCAGAATGGCGGCAGACACACCCTCTCTCTCTCTCTCTCTCTCTCTCTCTCTCTCTCTCTCTCTCTCCTCCTCTCTCTCTCTCTTGTATAGTTACAGGAAATTACCATAAGAGGTTTGAGGACGACCGCCTCAAGGTCGAGGTCTACAGCTACCGTCCACTTAACTCCTCTATACCCGGAACTTCCAGTCTGATCCCGCTCAAGGATGGTTCACCTTGAGGCAGCTGAACCTTAGTGATGGTTCACACTAGAGGAGCAGCTGAACCTTGATTGATGGTTACACTTGAGGGGCAGCTGAACTATGAGTGATGGTTGACACTTGAAGGGCAGAACCTTGAGTGATGGATTGACGCCCGAAGAAAGCTGAACGATTGATGGTTGACACTTGAGGACGCTGAACCTTGAGTGATGGTTGACACTTGAGGGCAGCAGCTAGACAGCAGTGATGGTTCACACTTGAGGGGCAGCTGAACCTTGATTGATGGTTCACGCAGGGCAGCTGAACCTTGTTGATGGTTCACACTTGACGTCAACAGGTCCAGTATTGAAAGGTAAGTGAGCAATATTGTCAACACGACCGAGGCAGTTCCCCTCTCTCTCTATCGCTCTCTCCTCTATGCTAATACACCACTCTCATTTCCCCACCCGTTTTAACGCAGGAGAGAAGAAGAGAAGAGAGAGAAGAGAAAAGTCATATGCATCTCATAACTTGACATAAAGAGATGCTCAGTTTAAACCAACACCAACACCACACTCACTTCTGATGCTTCACTGTGTTGTATCACCACCTCACACACCACCATCACCACCCCACACTATCACCACCCCACACACACTCCATCGCCACACACACACACACTCTATCGCCACACACACACACACTATCGCCACACACACACACACACACACACACACACAATCACACCCACACACACACCATCACCCCACACACTATCACCACCCCACACACTATCATCACCCACACACACACCACACACAATCACCACACACACACACACACACATATCACCACCCCACACACACTATCACACACACACACATATCACCACACACACACACACTTATCACCACCCACACACACTATCACCACCCACACACACACTATCACACCCACACATATCACCACCCACACACACACACTTATCACCACCCACACACATCACCACCCACACACACTATCACCACCCACCCACACACACTATCACCACCCACACACACTATCACCACACACACATATCACCACACACACCTATCACCACACACACTATCACCACCCCACACACACCCCTATCACCACCCACACACACTATCACCACACACACACATATCACACACACACACTATCACCACACACACACACACACTATCACCACCCCACACATCACCACACACACATCACCACCCACACACTATCACCACACACACACCTATCACCACCCACACACACTACACCCACAATATCACCCACACACACACTATCACCACACACACATATCACCACCCCACACACACTATCACCACACACACACACTATCACCACCCACACACACACTATCACCACCCACACACTATCACCACCCACACACATCACACACACACATATCACCACACACATCACCACACACACTATCACCACCCACACACTATCACCACCCACACACACACTATCACCACACACACACACACCACACACACATCACCACCCACACACACTACACCACACACACACCACCCACACGCTATCACCACACACACACACACACACTTATCACACACACACTATCACCACCCACACACTATCACCACCCACACTATCACCACCCACACACACACACACCCACACTATCACCACCACACACACTATCCACCCACACACATATCACCACCCACACACACACACCTACACTATCACCACCCACACACTATCACCACCCACACACTATCACCACCCACACAATCACCACCCACACACACACACACACACCCACACACACACACACTATCAGTATACACTCACACACACAAACACACTATCACTTTACACACAATCATAGCTCCCATCACACACTATCACCACACACACTATCACCAGCCACCCACACACACACACACACACACACACACACACACACACACACACACACACACACACACAGTATCTTGATGAAGCAAGTGTGTCACATAATGGTCCCTGTTGTCATAAACACAGGCAACAGGTATCCACTGTCACAACCAAGGCGTCGGATTGGCTGTATCAATAACCAATGAGAGTCGAGGAGACGCACTCATAATAAACATGGTGCACCAGAGCGAACAATAATAATATGGGTAAAACTGACCTGGCAGGCGCACACACACACACACACACACACACACACACACACACACACACACACACACAACTTTCCTTCCCTAGCCTCAACACCTGATAATGTTAAAAAGCAGCGCGACCTGATTGACACCACTTAGTGTTTCAGTATGGTGAAGGACGTGGGCGTATTGATATTGTGTATGAAAGAATGATATTGTGTGTGTGTGTGTGTATTGATATTGGGAGGTGTGTGTGTGTGTTGGTGTGTGTGTGTGTGTGTGTGTGTGTGTGTGTGTGTGTGTGTGTGTGTGTGTGTGTGTGTGTGTGTGTGTGGTGTGTGTGTGTGTGTGTGTGTGGGAAGGTGTGTGTGTGTGTGAGTGTGTGTGTGTGTGTGTGTGTGTGGTGTGTTATAATGTGTGTGTGTGGTCTGGAATTTCCGCTAGGAGGGGATGTATATATTCTGGAAAGGAATTTACTCTCTCTCTCTCTCTCTCTCTCTCTCTCTCCTCTCTCTCTCTCTCTCTCTCTCTCTCTCTCTCTCTGTGTATGTTTTAAACCACAGTTCGAATAATGGCAGGTACAGAAGCAGGTACAGATACAAATACAGGTACAAGATAGAGATACAAGTAAAAGTGCAAATATATAAGTGATAACAGTACACACACACACACACACACACACACACACACACACACACTAAAGTCACTCTGGAGTGGATCAACTTATTTAGAAAAAAAAATAATAAGAATTTGCATGATAGAATATTACTTCAAATGATGTTGTTGTATCATTAGCTAAGAGGTGTGTGTTGATAATACGTGTTGGGGGCTGGTGAAAATGATTGATATGCTAATGAGGTGTTTGAATTTGCATATTTTTGAGTCTAGACGTGTTGAAGATGGTGTTGAGATACACTAATCATAAAGATATTTGTGTGTGAACAATAACTGATGCATTGGTGACTAACTTATAGTGGTAAAGTGTTTAATTTTACACACACACACACACACACACACACACACTAATAACCTTTATACGCAAACATCACAGTGCATTGAACACACAAAATCCACATATACAAAAGTGGAAAAACACAGTTACCCTGTCAAACACAGTTACCCTGTCAAACACAGTTACCCTGAGAAACAGTTACCCTGTCAAACACAGTTACAGCAGAAACACAGTTACCCTGTCAAACAGTTACCCTGACAAACACAGTTACCCAGAGAAACACAGTTACCCTGTCAAACAGTTACCCTGACAAACACAGTTGCAGAGAAACACAGTTACCCTGACGAACACAAATTCGGGTTAACTTTGTGTTTGACGAAACTTTGTGTTTATCAGCGTACTGATACAGGTAGCAGGTACCAGTACTGATACCTGTACCTGTGCAGTACTGATACAGGTACAGGAACTGAGCACAGGTACTAGTACTGATACAGGTACATGTACTGATGCTGATACAGGTACTAGTGCTGATACGGGTACTGATGCTGATACGGGTACATGTGCTGATGCTGATGGGTACTAGTGCTGATGCGGGTGCTGATGCGGTGCTGATGCGATGCAGGTGCATGTGCTGATGCTGATGCAGTGCTAGTGCTGATGCTGATGCAGGTGCCTAGTGCTGATGCTGATACGGGTACTGGTACTGATGCAGGTGCTGATGCTGATGCAGGTACATGTGCTGATGCTGATACGGGTACATGTACTGATGCTGAAAGCGGTGCTAGTGCTGATGCGGTTGCGATACGGGTGCTGATACGGGTACATGTGCTGATGCTGATACGGGTACTAGTGCTGATGCTGATGCAGGTGCTGGTGCTGATGCAGAGTGCTGATGCTGATGCGGGTACGTGTGCTGATGCTGATGCAGGTGCTGGTGCTGATGCGGGTGCTGATCCAGGTACTGATACTGATGCAGGTACATGTGCTGATGCTGATACAGGTACTGGTACTGATGCTGATGCAGGTGCTGGTGCTGATGCGAGGCACTGATGCTGATGCAGGTGCATGTGCTGATGCTGATGCAGGTGCTAGTGCTGATGCGGGTGCTGATGCGGGTGCTGATGCTGATGCGGGTGCATGTGCTGATGCTGATGCAGGTGCTGGTGCTGATGCTGATGCAGGTACTAGTGCTGATGCGGTACTGATGCTGATGCAGGTGCATGTGCTGATGCTGATGCAGTGACTAGTGCTGATACAGGTGCTGATACGGGTGCTGATGCTGATGCAGGTACATGTGCTGATGCTGACTGGGTACTAGTGCTGATGCTGATACAGGTGCTAGTGCTGATGGGGGTACTGATGCTGATGCAGGTGCATGTGCTGATGCTGATGCAGGTGCGTAGTGCTGATGCAGGTACTGATGCAGGTGCTGATCACGGGTGCTGATGCTGATTGCTGGTGCTGATGCAGGTGCTGATGCAGGTGCTGATGCTGATGCAGGTACGATTGCTGATGCTGATGCAGGTACGTAATGCTGATGCTGATGCGGGTACTGATGCTGATGCTGCAGGTGCTGATGCAGGTACTGATGCGCAGTACGGGTACATGTGCTGATGCTGATGCGGGTGCGTATTGCTGATGCTGATCTGGGTACTAGTGCTGATACGGGTGCTGATGCAGGTGCTGATGCAGATGCATGTGCTGATGCTGATACGGGTGCTGGTACTGATGCTGATGGGTACTGGTGCTGATGCAGGTGCTGATGCTGATGCGGTGCATGTGCTGATGCTGATGCAGGTGCTAGTGCTGATGCGGGTGCTGATGCGGAGTGCTGATGCTGATGCAGGTGCATGTGCTGATGCTGATGCGGGTACTGGTGCTGATGCTGATGCAGGTGCTAGTGCTGATGCAGGTGCTGATGCTGATGCAGGTACGTGCGCGTGCTGATGCAGGTGCTGATGCTGATGCTGGTGCTGATACGGGTGCTGATGCTGATGGTGCATGTGCTGATGCTGATGGTGCTGATGCTGATGCTGATGCGGATGCTGGGTGCTGATGCGGTACTGATGCTGATGCGGGTGCATGTGCTGATGCTGATGCGGGTGCTGGCGCTGATGCAGGTGCTGATGCTGGTGCTGATGCTGATGCGGGTGCATGTGCTGATGCTGATGCGGATGCTGATGCTGATGCTGATGCGATTGCTGGTGCTGATGCAGGCACTGATGCTGATCTGGGTGCGTGGCTGATGCTGATGCAGGTGCTGGTGCTGATGGGTGCTGATGCGGGTGCTGATGCTGATGCACGGATGCATGCTGATGCTGATGCGGGTACTGGTGCTGATGCTGATGCGGATGCTAGTGCTGATGCGGATGCTGATGCTGATGCAGGTGCATGTGCTGATGCTGATGCGGTGCATGTGCTGATGCAGGTGCTGATGCGGTGCTGATGCTGGTGCTGATGCTGATGCGGGTGCTGATGCAGGTGCTGATGCTGATGCAGGTGCATGTGCTGATGCTGATGCTGGTGCATGTGCTGATGCTGACTGGAGTGCTGGTGCTGATGCAGGTGCTGATGCCGGATGCTGATGCTGATGCGGTGCATGTGCTGATGCTGATACTGGTGCATGTGCTGATGCCTGATCTGGATACTGGTGCTGATGCAGATGCTGATACGGATCTGATGCGGATGCATGTGCTGATGCTGACGGTGCTAGTACTGATGCTGATCTGATGCTGGTGCTGATACGGATGCTGATGCTGATGCAGGTGCATGTGCTGATGCTGATGCGGGTACTGGTGCTGATGCGGGTGCTGATGCGGGTGCTGATGATGCTGATACGGGTGCATGTGCGATGCTGATCTGGATGCTAGTGCGATGCTGATGCAGATTGCTGATGCTGATGCGGATGCTGATGCTGATGCGGGTACGTGTGCTGATGCTGATGCGATGCTGGTGCTGATGCGGGTGCTGATGCGGGTGCTGATGCTGAGAGTGCGATGCATGTGCTGATGCTGATGCAGGTGCTAGTGCTGATGCGATGCGGTGCTGATGCTGATGCGATGCTGATGCTGATGCGGTGCATGTGCTGATGCTGATGCGATTGCATGTGCTGATGCGAATGCTGATGCGAATTGCTGATGCAGGTGCTGATGCTGATGCAGGTGCTAGTGCTGATGCAGATGCGTACGGGTGCTGATGCTGATGCAGGTACATGTGCTGATGCTGATGCGTGGTGCATGTGCTGATGCTGATGCGGGTGATGCATGTGCTGATGCTGATGCAGGTGCTGAGTGCTGATGCAGATGCTGATGCAGGTGCTGATGCTGATGCAGATTGCATGTGCGATGCTGATACAGGTACATGCTGATGCTGTGCTGGTACATGTGCTGATGCTGACTGGGTACTAGTGCTGATGCAGGTGCTGATGCTGATGCAGGTGCATGTACTGGTACTGATGCAGGTGCTGGTGCTGATGCTGATGCAGGTGCTGATGTGCTGATGCAGGTACTGATGCAGGTGCTGATGCTGATGCAGGTATGTACTGATGCTGATGCGGGTACATGTGCTGATGCTGTTCTGGTGCTAGTGCGGTACTGGGTACTGATGCATGTCTGATGCAGGTGCTGATGCGGGTGCTGATGCTGATGCAGGTACGGGTGCATGTGCTGATGCTGACGGGTGCATGTGCTGATACGGGTGCTGATACGGGTGCTGATGCTGATGCAGGTACGGGTGCATGTGCTGATGCAGGTGCATGTGCTGATGCTGATGCAGGTGCTGGTGCTGATGCAGGTGCTGATGCTGATGCGGTGCATGTGCTGATGCTGATGCAGGTGCTGGTACGGGTGCTAGTGCTGATGCGAACCTGATGCAGGTGCGTGTGCTGATGCTGATGCGGTGCATGTGCTGGAGTGCTGATGCAGGTGCTGGTACGGTGCTGGTGCTGATGCATGTGCTGATGCGGGTGCTGGCGCGATGCTGATGCAGGTGCGTCCCGGTGCTGATGCGTTTGAGGTGCTGATGGGTGCTGATGCTGATGCAGGTGCATGTGCTGATGCTGATGCGGGTCTAGTGCTGATGCAGGTGCTGATGCGGTGCTGATGCTGATGCAGGTGCATGTGCTGATGCTGGTCTGGTGCATGTGCTGATGCTGATGCAGGTGCTAGTGCGGGTGCTGGTATGATGCATGTGCTGATGCAGGTGCGTGATGCTGATGCGGTGCTGATGCAGGTGCTGATGCTGATGCGGGTGCGGGTGCATGTGCTGATGCTGATCGGGTGCATGTGCTGATGCAGGTGCTGATGCAGGTGCTGATGCTGATGCAGGTGCGGGTGCTGATGCTGATGCGGTGCTGGTGCTGGTCTGCAGATTGCTGATGCGGGTGCTGAGCTGGTCTGATGCATGTGCTGATGCTGATGCACGGGTGCTGGTACGGGTGCCTGGTGCTGATGCATGTGCTGATGCGGGTGCCATGTGCTGATGCTGATACAGGTGCTAGTGCTGATGCTGATGCGGGTGCATGTGCTGATGCAGGTGCTGATGCTACGGTACATGTGCTGATGCAGGTGCTGATGCTGATGCAGGTACAGGTGCATGTGCTGATGCTGATACGGGTGCTGGTGCTGATGCTGATGCAGATGCTGGTGCTGATGCAGGTGCGCTGATGCAGGTGCGGGTGCTGATGCAGGTACTGATGCTGATGCAGGTACGAATTGCATGTGCTGATGCTGATGGGTACATGTGCTGATGCAGGTGCGGATGCTGATGCGGTGCATGTGCTGATGCAGTGCTGATGCTGATGCAGGTGCAGGTGCATGTGCTGATGCTGATGCGGGTGCTAGTGCTGATGCAGGTGCATGTGCTGATGCAGGTGCGGTGCGCCGATGCAGATGCTGATGCTGATGCAGGTACGGGTGCATGTCGTCTGATGCAGGTACGTGTGCTGATGCAGGTGCATGTGCTGATGCAGGTACGGGTGCTGATGCTGATGCCAGTGCTGATGCTGATGCAGGTACATGTGCTGAGTGCAGGTGCTGATGCTGATGCGGTGCGGTGCGTATGCTGATACTGATACGGGTGCATGTGCTGATGCAGGTGCATGTGCTGATGCGGGTACATGTGCTGATGCTGATACGTGCATGTGCTGATGCAGGTGCTGATGCTGATGCAGGTGCATGTGCTGATGCTGATGCGGGTACGTGTGCTGATGCGGGTGCTTGCTGATGCGGGTGCATGTGCTGATGCAGATGCTGATCGGGTACGGTGCATGTGCTGATGCTGATGCAGGGTGCATGTGCTGATGCAGGTATGTGCTGATGCAGGTGCAGGTGCTGATGCATGTGCTGATGCTGATGCGGGTGCATGTGCTGATGCAGGTCTGGTACATGTGCTGATACGGTCTGTGCTGATGCAGTAGTGCTGATGCTGATGCGGTACGGGTACATGTGCGATGCTGATACGGTACGTGTCTGACTGTGCTGATACGTGCATGTGCTGATGCAGGTCGATGTGCTGATGCTGACTCTGGTGCGGGTGCATGTGCTGATGCTGATACAGGTGCATGCGCTGATGCAGCATGTGCTGATGCGGGTGCGGGTGCTGATGCTGATACGGTGCTAGTGCTGATGCGGGTGCATGTGCTGATGCAGTGCATGTGCTGATGCTGATGCGGTACTGGTGCTGATGCAGATGCATGTGCTGATGCAGGTGCATGTGCTGATGCTGGCTCAGGTGCATGCTGATGCTGGTACAGGTGCATGTGCTGATGCAGGTACGGGTGCTGATGCAGGTGCTGATGCTGATGCAGGTACAGGTGCTGATGCTGCTGATGCTGGTGCGGGTACGTACTGCTGTGCTGATCAGTGCGTGTGCTGATGCAGATGCTGTGCTGATGCAGGTACATGTGCTGATGCTGATGCGTGCATGTGCTGGTGTGATGCTGATGCAGGTGCATGTGCTGATGCTGATACAGGTGCATGTGCTGATGCAGGTGCATGTGCTGATGCGGGTGCATGTGCTGATGCTGATACGGGTGCATGTGCTGATGCAGGTGCTGATGCAGGTGCGGTGCATGTGCTGATGCTGATGCAGGTGCGTGTGCTGATACTGCGTTGCGGGTCGTCTGATGCGGCTGATGCTGATGCAGGTGCAGTGCATGTGCTGATGGAGTACGGGTACGTGTGCTGATGCTGATGCAGGTGCATGTGCTGATGCGGTGCATGTGCTGATGCGGTACGGGTGCTGATGCGGGTGCTGATGCTGATGCAGGTGCAGGTGCATGTGCTGATGCAGGTGCATGTGCTGATGCAGGTGCATGTACTGATGCTGATGCAGGTACGGGTGCATGTGCTGATCGGTGCATGTGCTGATGCTGATGCGGGTCGGGTCATGGCGATGCAACATGCTGATGCAGGTGCATGTGCTGATGCTGATCTGGTACATGTGCTGATGCGGGTGCAGATGCTGATGCAGGGCATGTACTGATGCTGAGCTGGGTGCATGTGCTGATGCAGGTGCTGATGCTGATGCAGGTGCGTGTGCTGGTGCTGATGCGGGTGCATGTGCTGATGCAGGTGCATGTGCTGATGCTGGTGCAGGTGCACATGCGGTGCGATGCTGATGCAGGTGCATGTGCTGATGCAGGTGCATGTGCTGATGCAGGTGCTGATGCTGATGCAGGTGCATGTGCTGATGCAGGGTGCATGTGCTGATGCGGTGCATGTGCTGATGCTGGTCTGGGTGCATGTGCTGATGCAGGTGCATGTGCTGATGTGTCTGGTGCATGTGCTGATGCAGGTGCATGTGCTGATGCAGGCACGTGTGCTGATGCTGATGCAGGTGCATGTGCTGGTCACGGTCATGTGCTGATGCGGGTGCATGTGCTGATGCTGGTCTGGGTACATGTGCTGATGCAGGTACATGTGCTGATGCTGATACGGGTGCATGTGCTGATGCGGGTACATGTGCTGATGCTGATACAGGTACATGTGCGATGCAGGTGCATGCTGATACAGGTGCGATACTGGTACAGGTGCTGATACAGGTGTGCTGGTACAATTGAAGATACAGGTGAAGGTGTTGATGCAAGTGCAGGTATTGAATTCAGGCACAGGTACAGTGTGCAGGTACAGAACACAGGTACAGTGTGCAGGTGCAGACCACAGGTGCAGGGTGCAGGCACTGACACAAGTGCAGGCGCAAGTGGGCAGGTACAGGCGCAGGTGCAGGTACATGTACATGGTACAGGGTGCATGGTACGGTACATGTACGCATGGTGCAGGGGTACAGGTACAGATACAGGTACATGGTACAGGGGTACATGGGTACAGACACAGTGCATGGTACAGGTACATGGTACAAGGTACAGACATGTACAGGTACAGGTACAGAATTACCATGGTACAGGCTGAGCGCATGTACATGGTACAGGTACATGTGCAGGTACAGTACATGGTACATGGTACAGAATACAGGTACAGGTACACAGGTACAGGTACATGTACATGGTACAGGGTACAGGTACAGGGTACAGACACAGGTACAGACACAGGGTACAGGATACAGGTTCAGGGGCAGGCACTGGTACAAACATACTCCAAGATTCTTACGTTAGGTTGTGGCGTCACAGGTGAAGTGTTGTCTATCTCACTTAAGATGCCACACAATACTGACCAAGATGGCGTCAACACAACACAAAGACTGTAACACCACAACTGTGTTATGACTGCCGGTCCCACACTGACAGGCTGACTGGTTACTGGTTCACGATCATGTCAACAAATTCTGCTCGGGTCGCCCTATTGCCGGGTTGAGTTACCGACATTATCGTCTCGTTAACTAATTCACTATATAAACTAGATGTTATTTAAATCTAAGTTTACTTTTAATGACAATAATTATACTTATTTACTTCAGGAACTCTGTACTGTAATAAAATTAATTTACTTATAATAACTCTATATTATACATATTTACTTTAAGGAATGATGAAATTAAATACGTTACTTAAAACAACTCTAATATCACATATACCGACATAAACTAACTCTTATAAGGCGAAGGTAAAGTGTAAATAGCTGGCTGGTAAACCATTTTAGGCTCGGTCAGGGGCTCGACTGTCACGCTCGGTGAAGGGCGCCGAGAATTACGCTCAGTAAGGGCCCCCACCTACCCCCATCACCCCCACCCCAGACTTAGGCTCAGTGAGGGGCCCACCTTATCTGCCAAACAAACCCTCGTCTGCCTATCTTCTCTGCGTCAAAATCACCTCCATCACCTTAGCGAGGACCCCTCTATAGGTCGGCCTCACACCTCTCTCTACAGGTCGGCCTCACCTCCCTCTACAGATCGGCCTCACACCTCCCTCTATAGGTCGGCCTCACACCCCAACCCCCCCCACCCCACCCGGCCTCACACCCCCCTCTATAGGTCGGCCTCACACCTCCTCTACAGGTCGGCCTCACACCTCCCTCTGGGTCGGCCTCACACCTCCCTCTACAGGTCGGCCTCCACACCTCCTCTACAGGTCGGCCTCCACACCCCCCTCCCCCTCCTCTGAGGTCGGCCTCACACCTTCTCAATTATAGCTCTTATAATAAACCCAGAATTATAGCGCGCGCACACACACGCACACACACACACCACACACACACACACACACACACACACACACACACACACACACACACTGTTCCTTTAAGCAAATTTGCATACTTGGTCACGCCGCCCCAACCCACGAAACACACTGGTCTTAATATACATATTAGTTCTCCTCGAGGTTCATATAATCTGACACTTGAGTCCTTTTGTTGAGTCCCACTTGACGCCCTGCAACACGGGGATGCCTGTGCTATGTTCATCACGCCGTGCAAGATGCAACACCAGCAGTCGTATGTCAGTGTTTGTAATAACGAGGGTCACTCACTGTTGGGGACGCGTGTAAACATTGCGAACACCTACACTGTCAGGGTGTATTCTGGGTGTAAATACTTGTGCAAGAATGTGGGTTAAGGTGTATCTTGGGAGTGTAAGTAATGCGTAGACGTATGGGTGTAGGTGTTACGGTATATTCTGGGTATAACTAGTTGTATACAAATGCAGGTTAAGGTATATTATGGGGTGTAAGTTAGTTGATATGGAGAAGTTTATAGTAGGTCATGTGTAGAAGAGTGTGTGTGTCAAGGCCTACCAGTAACAGTATACCTATGGGTGTAAACAGTGTGTAGAAGTGTGTACTAAAAGTTAAGTGTAGACCTTTGAGTGTAGGTAATACTTAGAAGAGTGTATTAAGACCCTTGGGTGTATTTTTGCTGGTGTAGTGAATGTGCAGAAGTGACAGCTGATGTCTTTAAGTGTATTATGGGGTGTAGGGAAGTGTGTAAGTGACAGGTGAGGTATTTAAGTGTATTCCGGGGTGTAGGGAAGTGTATACGTGACAGCTGAGATCTTTAAGTGTGTCCTGTGAGTGTTGGGAAGCGTAGAAATAACAGCTGAGGACTTTTAAGTGTATTCTGGAGTGTAGGAAAGTGTAGAAATGACAGCTGAAGACTTTATGTGTATCTTGAGGGTGTAGACAGTATTTAAAACAGAATACTGCACCCCTGAAGTGTACATCAGGGTGTAGGGGGTGTAGAGAATTGAGAACCGCAGGTCTTGAAGTACAGTATATCCTTGGGCGTAGGCATCACGCAGGGGAAAACAGTGTTAAAGAGTGTACCCGGTGTATGCAGGGTGTAGAAGTGAGACCGGTGCCACTGTAGTGTACTCCGGAGTGTACACAATGTGTAGACGTGAGAAATAATATCTTAGGTATACCAGAGAGTGTAGCAGTGAGAAGTTGAGGTGTTGTAAAGGTCACCTGTAAGGAGAGTGTATCCTGGAATGTACCCCAGAGTGTAGAGCGTGTAGAACAACAATAACTGCGTCCCTAAAGTGTGGGTGTGGTGGGTGTAGGAGGGGTGTAGAAGAGAGAACAGAGGTCTTAGGTGTATCCTAGAGTTTATGAGAAGTGTAGCAATGTAAAACACGATGACACAATACATTCAGGGATATAGAGAGTGTATTTTCACAGTAACTGAATCCACATCATTACCTGCTGGGTGTAGGAAAGGAGTGAGGTTTTAGGTGTATCTTAAAGTGTAGGGAATTCTTGCCACTTCGAATACGACGACACAATACACTCGGGTTTATAAAAGGTGTATTTTCACAGTATATGGTCCCACAAAGTACACAAGAT